TCCTATTTTATCCACCACCCCTCAAAAAAGTATGAAATTAAACGTAAATTACTCTCTATAATATCCTGAATTTCCACTTGTGACCCACATGACACATTTTCTCTTAGCATGTCATCATCCCTATTTTATCCATCACCCCTCAAAAAAATATGAAATTAAACGTAAATTACTCTCTATGATATCGTTATTACTCAGACAAACCATAGTTTTTATGGTCTTCAATTTTTTTGGTTACAGAGCCATTGAATAGAAAATCAGACCAGTCCTGCCACATCTTCTCTTTCACAATTTGTTGATAGTTCTCTCTTACATTTCATTATATATATTACCTATAACCAATAGAAAGTCAAGGTTATCATATATCAGATGACAATAGTATCGCAATATTATCCCTGTATAATTCACTTATGTTGTCACGCGAGTATCCTGAACTTCCAATAATCGTCTGCTCTTCGTACCTCCAATAATTGTCTGCCAATAGAAAGTCAAGGTTTTCATACATAATTCACTTATGTTGTCACGCGAGTATCCTGAACTTCCAATAATCGTCTGCTCTTCGTACTTCCAATAATTGTCTGCCTTTTTGTCAAAGTCCACACAGGCAGGTTCAATTAGCTTAGAACACCCTTTGACAAGACAAATCATTCTCCTTATCTCTTACAAACTATTAATCTCACACTAACATATCAATAATTAGGCCATTCACACCCACAATGGTTAACTTTATGTTTTCTAACTGTTCTCTGACCAAACTTCTCTTTCACGTGACTTTACTTTTACTCTTACTCTGTTTCCACTCATCTGGTTGCAGCTATTTATATGTCTATCACTTAGGCCTTCTAGAAATCCCCATAGCCTCATCATCAATGTATTGCAAACACAAAGTTCGATAGCCTCAACATCAATGAATTACGAACACAAACTTAATAATACTGCCTACATTAAACAGTCTTTTATATCTGACAAACATACATCCATACAGTTGAAATATCTATATTATATCTATCAAAGCACAAAACATTTTATAAATTGGTCTAAAAACCTTTATAGCAAAAAAAACCAACCGTTTAAAATGTGTTTTGAATTAGCTTTGTCATATAATAAGAAACATTAGCATTACTTTAAATTATCTTGAACATACATTTTAACCACCATACAACTATGAATTAATCTACTCTTACTTAATTGTCAAATATTTATCTTCATTAATTAGAAACTATTCAAAGATAATATTGTAATTAACTGTACATGTTAGTCCTATGAAATATAATAAGTTTTATATGCTTATTAATATCAATTAACATTTATCAATCTTCCATGAAAACAAGATGAATTTCAAGTATAATAATATTTCAGAAGATTTGCAGATACAATACAGTATGTATAGATCCTAAGTCACACTACCTAGAATTACTTTATTTCACACATGGGGGAGGGGGCGGGTCTCTCTTCTTCAAAAACTACTCAGTGACTAATGAATTATCTTACCTAAGTGTCTGTAAACAGCAGGTGTTACTCCCATCCAAAAACTTGCTATTCCTTCATGCTTTGCTGTAACATATTTTGGATACTGTTATCATAAATGTAACAAATCTATGTCCTAACTTAATACAATATGGTATGATAATACACACTTTAACAAAAGGAACAACTACTAAATAACTTTCTAATACAGCAATAAAAACAAAAATGCATATAATCTGTGTAAACTCGACTAAATACTGTTGTCATAAATGTAACAAATTCTAAGTCCTAACTTAATACAATATGTTATGATGATACAATACTACAAAACAACTTTCTAATACAGCATACAAAACAAAAATGGTTTTACCATTAAAGTTAATTTATTTAGCCAAATTTAATTAAATATGAGCTACATTGATGATTCATATATTGTTTTCAATAGAAAAAAAACATTACTGGAAAAAAAAGTAATAAATTACTTAAAATTGTTTATACATACCTTCAGACTAATAACCAAACAAAACAGTGACTAAAATATGACCAACAGTATTTAATTGAGTTTACACGTGTGACTGTTAACTGTAACATATGATACATAAAAAATATTCAACTGAAAACCCATCTTCTTTTTTAATGTTCTGCACACTTTACTGCTTTCTCACAAAACAGAGTGGATTTTTATCCCCACTGTTCATTTCCTGATACAACTTAAGCAGGCACACAGTATCTTCAATAAAATTTTGAATGCAAGTCAATAAATGCAATGACATGGCCTTTGACCCATGACCTGTCTGGAGAGGGTTAAGTATTACCTCCAGTATGGAAAGGGTTAATACAATCCTGAAGATCCCAGGATTGTTTTCTATAAATCCCATGATTTGGAGAGCCCAGTTAGCACGTGGACTCCCATAATTACAACTCTTTCATACTTTATAATGATGTTAATAATTTTGAAGTGACATTTCCCTTTTGTTTAGTTTAAATTTTGAGCAGACTAAAGACACAACTTACATCCTTGAAATCTTGATTTGAAAGAAAGAAATGGCATTTTAACACATGAAAATAGCTGAGAAAGCCACTAGGGGGACATTCTGATCTTTCCATTGGTTATTCACATGTCATATATTGAAGTAAGTGTATATAAGGGACCATTTCTAAAAAATGGTGTTTGAAATATGTTTGATTCAGTACATGAATGTTATCTCAGCAAATAGTAATTGATAATTTGAGTTCCTAGTTCATACAAATCTATAGACTTAATATTTTAACATCACAAGCCTCTAACTTGAACCAGTGCTGCATTCAACATACCATGTGACACACAAAAATCAATGTTTACCTGTGTTTTTTTAATATTTACTTTTAAATTAAGAAAAATAAATAATGTATAATACTAAAATTTGAATTATAATATACAGTTTGATACCAAACTTATTGACGTAAATTTGTGAAATAGTAGTATTTTTTTAGACCCAATTACAGCTTAGTTACTGTGCTTGATAAACTAGTGGAATTCTGTGGTATCGATATACTAATTCATGATTTTTTGGTTATTCAACTGTATATATAAATCCTAAAAAAAATTATTTCATTTCATATCCTCCGCATGCAACATTTTAAATGGCTTAGGACCCTACGTCATGCAGCAACCCGAGTACAAAGGTCATAACTAGAAGAGATAATTGTTTGCTTTACTTCATTATTTACTGTTCTATGTTTTAAGAAAAATAAGTTTAAGAACCTATTTCTAAATAGTAATAATCTAGACACATATGTAATGTATAATAATAGAAATGTGACTATTTTGTCTACTAAAACACAGCCAAGACAGGTCACTTTGTAAAGAGTAAATGTCAGTTTTATATTATTGGATACAGTAACATGAGAGCACATGTGCTACATCATTGTAACTTCTGTATTATTAGCCATGCATGACTGAAAGGTCAATATAATAAAAATAATAAATACATATAAATGTATAATGTTATGAGATTTAAACTATCTAGACTAAACATTTATGGTTTCGTGTTATAATCTGTTGTCATTCTAGAATGAAAGAGGCATAATTTATATTTACTTCCAAATTTTTAAAAGTAGTTACGAGATTGGTCAAATTAACGAACCTATACACAGATTCATTAGTGAAAATAACAGATAAAATATAAAGTTTTTTTCTTAATAAACATTTGAAAACTATCTGGACATTATACAGAACTTTTATGCATCAGAAAATTTTCAAATTTCACACGTGAAAAATTTTTAATCTTAAAATGAAAATTACTTTGCATGATAGGTAGGCAACATGTGAAAAGAAAAAAGACATGAGAAAAACATTGCTTTATACACCTTAATTTTATATTTTGCATATGAAAGCATTGTAACGTTTACTGATAATGTGCCAATTTTAGTTAACATATGCTTAGTAATTGAAAAGTTGTAGCATGAAAACTATAACAAGCACAAAATGGTTACGAGCTCGGTCACAAAGGACCGAGCCCATGCTGAAAAAGTTAAAGTGAATGAACATTTTTGATTAAACTTCATTAAAAGCTAATAGAAATCTGCCTGTACTAAGGTTTAATTGCTCACACTTTGAATACCAAATAACCAAAAAGAATCCAATTCAAATATTTATAAGGTAAGATAACAGTTTTAATAAAATAGTTATTCTTACAACTTTCTCAATCTCTCGTGTTCAATTTTTTAATCATTTAAGTTGGATAAGGAATGTAGATAGTTTACTTACTTTTTATCAAGACAAATAAATATTTAGAATCCTGGCTTGGATTCAGAAAATGAATGCTACACCTAATTCTCTGCTTTAAAATGACCACAGCCAAACATAACTTTAAGCAGTGATTTCTTTTATTACTGTTATTAATAAACTAGACTATTTCTTTAAAAAAAAAATTGTAGGACTCAAAATATATATAGTTTTGTTCTTTTTATTTTAAAATTCATAATTAAATAAAATCTACAAATTTAATGTTCTATAAAAAAAATCAGTTTTAATGTATAATTTAAATTTCTAATGCTTTCCACTAGGGATACCTGTAATGAAAGGTTATAATAAATATCTTACAAGTTAATGATTGTTTCCCAAAACAGTGGAGACTTTGCCCAACTATTTTATTGGATCTTTGATCTTTTCATAGATCTATATCAGCTTCTAACGTAAAAAACATCTGACATGACTGGATAACAGAAATAATTTTAACAATTTTAACGTCTAGTCAGTACCTAAAATAACAATTTTGTTATACATTTTATCTTTAGAGAAAATTCATCATTCAAAATACTGTACAGTTTTTTGCTATAAAAGCTTAAATAAGTAATCAAATTTCAAAGTTAATGTTTCTTAAATACAAAACTCAATACATCCTAATCAGTGAATGAAATTAAAACTAGTATAACTTAGCCACATTTTCATAAACATAATCATAGTTCCCTTTACTGACAAAGCATAACATTACCTTTCAATTTTTTATCAAACAATAAGGTGTTTTTTAATCTTAGACTATTATTATTTCCACAGTAATGACCTGTCTTAAATCAGGGGTCTTCTCTTTCATTTTTTTTAATCAGTAAATTCACGTAAATTGTAAACCTTTCAGTTTTTTATGCTTTTTTTTTATTTCTTTACCTATACTGAAAGAAAACAAATGAAGCTAAGAAAAGTCTACAAATGATGAATATTTGCTAAACCATAATACAGTACCTACTAAAGCAAACTATCCTTCAGTTATTGACTACTGTATTACATACAGTGCAATAAGTTGGTAAAGGAGAAATCAGGCCCACTTCCCGGTAAAAAGCAAGAGTCATTGGCTGAAAGTTATACTAGGGGGTAGAGTGTCATATTTTAATTAGGATCTTTGTTGCTATCAATGCACTTACCAATACTGACAGCCGTTCTCAGCATCCCTCCTGGAGTGACATGCTGTTTTTTTAATGTATGGGAATCTATCCCTTTCTCTCCTTGGATCTGAAGCCGAGTTTTTGTCAAGTCTAAAGGATAAGTAGCTGCAAAACAAAAGTTAAAAATTTTACAAACATTATAAATGGAGCTTTGCAATTAACTTAATTATCTATGAACATCAATTACATTGATTAATATCATGTAAAATGAAATAACTGATTATGATTAAATTAGTGTTTCCAGTTATTCCTTCTATACATGCCATTATTACTTTTGATTAATTGAAGTTTGTTCAACTTAATGTATTAGGGTAATGACTCATGAAAATAATCAACTAATTGGTTTTTGTTTATTCTAACTATCCAAGTAATCAAATTACAGCCATTATGTTTGTTTGTTGTTAAAAAAAAAGTTACACAAAGGACCTTCCGAGTTCTACTCACCACAGGTATCAAAATCCAATGTTTTCAGCTATCTTCTGAGAATAATATCTTTTTTTAGACATGATGCAATAATAATTTATTAGCAGAATGTAATCAATTAATAAGCCCAACAATTATTCAATTAGCAAATTCCAATAATCATGCAACTTAAATTACAAGTCATATTTATTTTTTTTTTTTATTTTTTTTTTATTTTTTTAAAAGTACTAGTCTTAAGTAAAATAAAACTTAAAAAACTCTACGTAT